AATTCACAATAAAACATTAAAAAAAAAAAAAAGAATTTCATTGTTTACGTTGTTGTTGTTAGCTTCTGTCAAGTCAACTCCACCTTAAGGCAAACACACGTACAATGCTGCCCAGTCCTGTGTCACCCACACAACCATCAGCATAATCGAGGCTATTATGTATGTGCCAGTTACTTCAAAAGTGTCTCATGGCCTTCTATGTTTTTGTTTTTAGGTTCTATTATTTAATTATATCCCTGAGGACCCACCAAAAACACCTTCATTTATGGATAAAATATTCCTCTAAATAGTGAGCAAGTTTACTACAAAAATGCTAAAACTATGCTCAAGCGAATGGCATTAGGTTAAGATATTAAGCCATTCTTTTCCTTACCTAGTCACAGTTTTACAGGTACAAAACTAAGTGTGTAATTTAACTGTGTGCCTTTTAAGCTGTAAAGAAACATCAAATACATTGAATATTTAAAAAATGCAGTGGTAACTTCTTTTTCCAAATTCCTGTCTCTATGTTGTTGTTCAATGCCACTGAGTCGGTTCTGACTCATAGCGATCACAGATGGCTACCAAGGAGCAGCTAGTTGATTTAAACTGCTGACTCTGTGGTTAGCTGTCCAGTGCTTATCTTACAGTGCCACACCAGCAGTCTTCCTCTCCTTATAACTCCCCCTAAATCATACTTTATCTCTAAAGAATTATTCAACTTTTGGTCTCTTGGCTGAAGCAGTCAATGAGGCAGACAAGTCAGGGAAGTTATAATGAGAAGAATAATAATCCCATGTGATAGCAATTAACATTGAGTAGCCTTGCTAATGAGCTACAAAAGAATAAGAATGTGTTCATTGGGCAATCATCTTCAATGAAACTGGGGGAAGAGGGGAGTAGAGAGAAGAAAATCATTTGTTGGAAGCAAAGGGCATTGGGTGCATCTTAAAATGTCATTTTCAGAGCACTGCCTGGATAAGATAAGAAGTTACGTTCTTTGCAAGTCCTTAGGCCTTCTTCATCAAGATTGAACTCTAGAGGTTTCAAAGATAATGACACCCACAATCACCATTTGAGTGCCTTGAGAAGGTCAAAACTACTGTTTTGACCTGGTGTGAACTAGAGAATACAAATTCTTCAAAGAAGGGTAACAGAGCCTTCAGAAGTGTATAGACCTAGATGGAAGATATGTCAACTCAAGTTAAATGGCTTCCCTAAGGTCACAGAGCAAGTTATTGAAAGTATAAAAATTAGAAATCATAGTCTTTGTGATTCTAGTTCATTGTCCAGTGCACTGGAGTGGAATATAAAATAAAGAAGTCCCACAGCCATTCTTTCTTGACTTATAGGGGTAAAGCAAATTATAACAGGCTCAGCTTCTAAAGCAAAACTGTTTAAAACACACAGTCCCACAGTTACAGTACTGGTTATTAGAGTGGTCATAATTTCAGGCTGGCATTTATTATCATGGAAAGAAGGAAATGGTGTGAGCCCAGAAAAATGAGATGGACCCACAAGACTAGCTATTATCTCTCACCTAATTCATTCAATAGACTCCTGGTGTGGTGCTGTAGGATCAGCACTAGACTGCAAACTACAAGGTCGGCAGTTCAAACCCACAAGCTGCTCCTCAGAAACCCTATACTGGGTTGCTATGAGTTGGAGTCAACTCGATGGCACTTAACAACAATTCGTTCCATATTCAATATTTCACTCAAAAATTATTATTTGGCCACTTGCTATGCACCAATCACTTTATTAGACAGTGAGACTACAATAGTAAATACGACAGATGTATGCATAGTTTCTGTCTTCAGAGTCTTAGTAGCTATCCAATAAGCAACTGTCTCTCAAATATGGTCAGGTTCAATCCCCTAGGACACACTTCCAAACTCCAGTTATTTATGCGCAACTCTTCCCAAGTAAGTCCATAGAAAGAGGTACCAAAAGCACAGATGCTCCTAACTCCTATGACCAACTACTTAGTTCTAGCGTGATTCCTTAAGCAAAATTAATACATATTTAAGCTCTACTGGAAAATTCTGCAATTTTTTTCCCTAAAAACCCTTCTTTAATTTATATAACATATGCCAGACTACTCGTCTTCTCTTGCTAGTGCCTCCTTGAAAATCACTTTTCTCAGGTCCCTTTTCTCCACTACTGTTAAGTCCTGATGTTAAGTAACACAGGAAATCTAAATATGCCTAAGGCATTATACTGAATTATCACTTTTATTTTATCCAGGGTAATTCCCTGAGCTCTCAATTCAATTTTTGTGCTTTCATATTTAGATACATCTTAACATTTCTAGAAAATTTTTCAGGACTGAGAGGCTGTAAACAATTCTGAGATTTTAAAAATTTGATGTTTCTTCAAACAAATTGATTCAAATAAATAGGTTCCTCCATCATAGTTAATTTTTTCTGGTCCTCATTGCTAATATTGGGATGGATTAGCATTGATATAAAGAAAGCTCATAGTAGGTTGTTGTTGTTGTTACGTGCCGTCGAGTCGGTTCCGACCCATAGCGACCCTGTACAGGGTTTCCGAGGGTGTAAATCCTTACGGGAGTAGAAAGCATCATCTTTCTCCCGCGGAGCAGCTGGTAGTTTCGAACCGCTGACCTTTAGGTTCGCAGCCCGATTCGTAACCACTACGCTACCAGAGCTCCTTAGACCCCCAAATTTACCATTCTCCTATTTTCTATCTAGGAAAACCTTCCTCTTACCTAAAAATTCTTCACTTCTCTAAAGTGCTTAGAACACTGCCAGGCACTTTCTACAGGTGATCTAAAAGGACATGTATAGGAAGGACAATGACAGCAATAAGCAGAGCACTGCCCCACTAATAGCATAAAAATATAAGTAATACTGTGATTAAGTAAAAAAGTATTGCTACTACGGCTCCAGTTCCTACATGCATGGGTTTATTCCTAACAAAACATGTTTAAACATGTCTCTGTGGTCAGTGCAAGCCTGTAGACAAGTTCTCTCGGTAATCACTTGTCTTAGTTTCATTAGGGTGTCTTCAAAACATTTTTTTAATAGGTCCAATCAAAACAGTGGTTTCTGTGGGGATCTGCTGAGTCAGTTAAATTCAAAACAAAGAGGTCAGTTCAGGTTTGGTGACAGTTTTTTGTGAGCCTGAAGGGGTAATCTTGATAAATTTTCTAGCGGACACAGGGCAATCACAAGGGCTTATTATGAAGTTTTAAGAAAACCTAAAACTGCATTGGTGAGAAAAAGGCCAGGAAAGTTATACTGAGGAATTTTTTCCCCCCTTCATGACAATGCACCTGCTCATTCTGAGAGAGTAGCAGGGACTGACCTACAAGAATTTGGTTAGGAAACTTTACCTCATCCACCCTACAACCCTGATCTTGTCCCGTATGACTTATTTTTGCTCCCCAAGTTCAAGGACCACTATTTGAGTGCTATGAGGAGGCCAAAACTACTGTTTTGACGTGGTGTAAAGTGAAGGTGAAGGGTCAGAGAAAAAGAGGAAGACCCCAGTGAGATAGATTGGCCAAGTGGCAGCATCAATGGACTCAAGCATGGCAACAATAGTGTGGTTGGCCCAGGATCGGGCAGTGTTTTGTTCTGCTGTGCATAGGGTCGCTATGAGTCGGTACTGACTCGAAGGCACCTAACAACAACAACAAAGTGAAGAGTACAAATTCCTTCAAGGAAGGGTGAGAGAGCTGGAAACACCACCTTCGGAAAGAAGTGTACAGACCTAGATGGAGATTATGTTGAGAAAAAATAGCTTCACATTTTGATATTACTGTTTAATAAAGGTTTCTATAATTTCATAGCAATCATTTTTGTTTTTTACTTACCCTTATATACCAGAAATCTAAAGATAAGAACTCATACTATGTCAAGGAGCACTAGTAGTGCAGCAGTTAAGTGTTTGAATCCACCTGGAGGCTCTGCCCTATAGGGCACTCCTACATGGGGCCACTATGAGTCAGAAATTGAACAGAAAGCACCCAACAACAATAGCAACAACAATCCTATGTCAAGAAACTAGTCTGAAGCAGGAGGACAATTAAGACATCTTACTCCTCATCCTGTAGTGTCTCCTCCTCCTCCTGGATCTGTAGCTGGTTCTTCACGGGAGCCAAGTTCTCAGTCTTGGCATTGTAGTTTCGAAAGCAGACATTGAGCTTCTCATCAAATTCATTTACAAGGTCCTCCATGGACTTGAAGCTTATGATTTCAGAAGAAAAATTCTCAAGCTCGGAGAGGGAGGGATCCTCTAAATGATGAGGAGATGAGCCATAGAAACACCGAGGTTTCTCCTCCTGTTCCTCCGAACAGCAGGACCGAAGATCCTCAAATTCTTCATCCAAACTCACCAGTGGGGCCTCCATGCTTGCACAATAATGGACCAAAAGCAAATGTCAGGATTTGCTTATCTGGAAGAAAATGTGAGGCAATGTGAGTTTAGATTGGGCTTGTAGGGCCACTCTGCTGAAAGGCACTTACAATATTATCCATAACCATATATTTCTTACTCTGTACCCACATGAAAACAGCGGTTCCACTTTACTGGCATCCATTGCTTCTGTTTGTCCTCAATACTACACATTTAAGGAGTTCAAATCTCCCTGTCAGTGTTACCACTACTAACCAAATGCAGTAAACCTCTAAGACTCACCTGCTTCTAAGTACTTGCTCAAAACAAACAAACAAATAAAAAAAGCATATAGTCTAAGTTTTAAGCCCCTTGTGCCAAAGTGCTTAGGTTTGACTCCTGTTCTGCCTTTTACCAGCTGGTAACTTAGACAAATTACTTAACTTCTCAGTGATTCCTTTTATTTTTCTCAAGATAAAAATAATGATAGGGGAGAGGAACAAATAAGATGGCGGATCGGGTGGACGTATAGCAGAGAGCTCCGCCACCAACAACACAGAATACCCAAACAAGCAGGTTCAGGGGA